CCCCCCCACCTCCTCAAATCCCCATTCTGACTGCCCTTTCCTCTCCCCTAGGTCGAGCCCTACAACTCCATCCTCACCACGCACACGACGCTGGAGCACTCGGACTGCGCCTTCATGGTCGACAACGAAGCCATCTACGACGTGTGCCGCCGCAACCTAGACATCGAGCGACCCACCTACACCAACCTGAACCGCCTCATCGGCCAGATCGTGTCGTCCATCACGGCCTCGCTTCGCTTCGACGGCGCGCTCAACGTCGACCTCACCGAGTTCCAGACCAACCTGGTGCCCTACCCGCGCATCCACTTCCCGCTCGCCACCTACGCGCCCGTCATCTCGGCCGAGAAGGCCTACCACGAGCAGCTGAGCGTGGCCGAGATCTCCAACGCCTGCTTCGAGCCCGCCAACCAGATGGTGAAGTGCGACCCCCGGCACGGCAAGTACATGGCCTGCTGCATGCTGTTCCGCGGGGACGTGGTGCCCAAGGACGTCAACGCCGCCATCGCGACCATCAAGTCTAAGCGCACCATCCAGTTCGTCGACTGGTGCCCCACCGGCTTCAAGGTGCGTACCAGGTGGTTCCAAAAGTATCGGACTTTGTACTTGTGCGCGGGTGGGTTTGTCTCTTACCATGGCGCCTTACGGCTACTGCGGGTAGGCAACCCGTCCGCGCACCAGCATGCGGTACGGTACCCTTTGGGTGTGTTTCGGCCGGTTTCGGCCACCTCAAAGTTGTATTTACATTTTCTATGACTAGCGACACTTACCTAGTTCTCCTTCCTTGTCGCAGGTGGGAATCAACTACCAGCCTCCCACGGTGGTGCCCGGCGGTGACCTGGCCAAGGTACAGAGGGCCGTGTGCATGCTGTCCAACACGACGGCCATCGCCGAGGCGTGGTCGCGGCTCAACCACAAGTTCGACCTGATGTACGCCAAGCGCGCCTTCGTGCACTGGTACGTCGGCGAGGGCATGGAGGAAGGCGAGTTCTCCGAGGCGCGCGAGGACTTGGCCGCGCTGGAGAAGGACTACGAGGAGGTCGGCATGGACTCGACAGAGGCCGAAGGCGAGGGCGGCGAGGAGTATTAGAGACCTGTGTGCGTCGGACAGCTCGCTCTGAAGGTTTGTGTCGCAGTGATGGCAGGCACCCTCGAGCCACGGGTCTCACCCCTTGCGCTTGAATTCCGTGGCAGGGTAGCTTTGTCGGATTCAACTTTTGTGCCCCACTTGCATATTTTTTTTATATTTTTTTTTTGCCGTCTGACTTATTTGTCAAAATTTTTGGTCTAACATTGTATGCGTGTAATGTCTAACAAACCTTCAGAGGTGCAATTTGGTCATAATGCTATTGTGTGAAAATTTAACGACCTAGTCATTTGTTGGGTGTAAGTCTACGATTTAAGTCTGTCTGTAATATCTTGACTTGCATCTATTAATGTCTAATGAAACAACAATAAACTTCTGTTTTTAAGGAATTTGAGTATTAATTATTAAAATAACTAATTTTTTCTGTCATGAATCACGCTATTCTTTCTTTTTTGAAAAATCAAAAATAATATGATGGTCTGCATGGTATCTCATCGTCAGATTGATAATCAATCACATATCAACCGACTAATGATATTGTGTGCTTTGCATGTATAGGAGTAGCAGTTTACAGAAACTGCTTCAAAAAATGTTATGGCTGTAAATGAAACTTGTTCAACGGATTTACACTAGACAAGAAGATGGACTTTATTTTTTGAGCAGTGACAGTTTCAGTTACATCATTTCTTGTTCTCATGCTGGTTAATTTTAAAGATGAAAAATAATTAGATGAACAAGGAACATTCATGCTTTTTTAATTTTAATTAATCTAAAGAAGGAAGTTGCGGTCTTTAAATACTGACATTATCAATGCACTTCATCGGAAACCATATAACTGATATCTGTTCCTACCATTTGGAAACAAAGTCGTTAGTTTGGCTGCTAATTAAAATGCCATCACACTAAGTTACTATTCTAAAAACATTAAAGCTTGTTTTGTTTAAGACACTACATAGGTACATTTGACACAGCAATATTAACAATATTCTATTAATTGACCCACCAAATCACAGAAACATGATGGTTGATTGAATTTTTCTAGGAATGATGTCAGAGGTCCAAATGTCTTCAAAATCTTTTTTGTTGACTGACCTTGCAATCTGATTTGAAAATTTATCAACTCACAGTTTTATTATAGACAAGATTCAATATGAGGTCTTTTAATTTTGCTTTCTGTACGAAGCACTTAGAGTTTGTCAAGACTCCAAAGAATCGAGAACCAAAAAGACTTAATTCTCTTCTGACCTCAGGAGCATCATATACTAAAATCACAGAGTATTCACTTCATAAAATAAAAACCAAATTCATACTATGCTGCTTGCAAAGTATTTGCTTTGGTGAACAACTTTAACTACTTTATAGGTAATACTGATACTTAAATAAATGTGCCCTCAACAATGAGGGCTCATTCACCCCCATATCACATACATGACAAAACACCAAAACTTCGCCTTAAACCCATTGGGTAAGGTTTCCATCCCCCCGTATGTAAGGCATGAGCCTATCATGCGACTAACTCACCCCCAAAAATACCCTTTCCCCAAAACTTCATTATTCGACAATCACAGATCCTCTACACACTCGGCCCTGAGTAACAAGGAAAATAAATAACGTGGCGCAGTCTGGAGCCACGAAGGCCCGCAACGCCGTGCAGTCTTGAATCGGTGACCTGGAGCCACCTGGCACCACCTGGAGCCGCTGTATCGCGCGCTAGCGTCATAGCTGGATGCTGATTGAGCTCGGCGGGGGCGTCGGCTTCTGGTACTCTGTGGGTCAGAAAAACGGGGGTGGGCATTAGCAGGCTGGCCACGGTCGTGGCGCGACGTGGCCTCGCGGCCGGTGACGCACGGCGAGTACGATCGACTGCCTAAGCTTCGGGCGGCCGAGGCCGCTTACTCACTCTTGAGCAGCTCGTCCAGCTCGGCCTCGTTGTAGTACACGTGGAAGTCCTGGGGCTGCAAGCCCTCGAACACGGCCACCACAGAGGGCTTGAGGTTGTAGAAGAAGAGCGTCTGGCCCCGGCGGGAGAAGTCCTGCGTCAGGGACTCGATGACCTTGGCGGCCGTGAAGTCGGCGCCGTAGATGTGCGAGCAGTCGATGACCACGGGGTTGTTCTGCTTGATGGAGTACTTGGTCACGATGTTGCGCACGTAGTCCACGGAGGGGAAGATGAGGCAGCGGTCCGGCGTGAGCAGCATGTAGTCGACGCCGCCCTGGCTCTTGAGGATGATCATGGAGATCTTGGGCCGGGCCGCGTGGTACAGAATGAAGACCAGGTTCGTCCCGATGCCGATCACGATGCCCACCTCCAGGGCGAGCACGAGGCAAGCGACGAACGTGACGGCGCCGGGGATCAGGTCGCTCTCTGGAGGCAGAAGGGTGGCGTTAGCGACCGTAGGGGCAAGGACAGGGTGCGTGCTCGCGGGGGATGTACGGTACGGGATACTCACTCTTGGACCGCCAGATGGGGGCGACGACGCGCACCTCCACCATGAAGACGACGGCGGCGATGATGACGGCCGCGAGGGCCGTCTTGGGGATGTAGGCGAAGTACGGCGTGAAGAAGAGCAGGGCCAGGATGACGAGGAGGCCGGTGTAGAGGCCGCCGAGGGGCGTGCGCACCCCGGACGAGTTGTTGACGGCCGAGCGGGACAGGGAGCCGCTTCCGGGGAAGGCCTGCACCAGGGAGCAGGCGATGTTGCACGCGCCCAGGGCCAGCATCTCTTGGGTGGCGTCCACCGTCTTGCCGTTGGCTGAAACACAGACGGGGCGCGTCACGGGGACGTCATGAGCGTGTCGGGGTGCGACGGGCGCAGGTGCGTCCCGACAGTGGTGTGGATGGACCGGGGGTCGCGGCCGCGGCAGCCGCCGTGTCTGGCACGGGCGCAAGAAGTCCCGCGCCCCGCGCCCTCGCCAAGCCGGCGCCCTTGTCCTCTGCCCGTGACCGGCCCCGTCCCGCGTCACGGGCACCCACCTCGCGCGCACGCACAACCGCGCACGCGTCACGACGACGGCCCGGCCCACCCTGCTGCTCCCTCAAGTTGTGACTCACGCCCACCGAACGGGCTTTACACGACACTCAAAGAAAGTAAGGCGATGATGGACGAGTTGGTGAGAGAAAAGAGAAGGAGAAAGAGTGGAAGAGAAAGACAAGTCCAGGGCGTTGCATAACGTGGCGACTGCGCCCGTCATGGGATGCTGCTGCCGCGCTTCTCCGCTATTGGTGCCGACCTTGGGGCGGCGCACAAGACGCGACAAAGTGAGCCCCGCTCATGGGCCTTATGGGCTGGGGCGCGGCGGGGCGCCGCAGGGCCCCGCGGGTCGGGCGATGCCTCGGACGATGCTATGACGTCCGTTTCGCCTCCTTTCTATTAGGATTCATACGGCGACGCGTAAAGCAGAACGCGCGTGATGGGCAGGCGATAGCGCGGAGGGCAGTGCGCCCCTATGGTCTTCCCCCTCCCCTCACCCCCTTCCCTCACCTTTTCTCCTATTGAGCGACATAGTCTGGCCTGGCGGGTGGGTCAACAGGTTTCTGTCGGTTTCTGGTGACAGTCGCGATCGCCCGACCCGGACTCAACCAGGAACTTCCCCCGTTTCGAACGGTAAACAAGGAATACGTCCCAGCGCACCCGCACGCACGCACCGCACGGGCATTGTTTACGCGCCCGCCAGGATGACGCCATTCGGGTGAGAACCGGAGCCATTTGGGAAGTTTTACTCTTATTTCTCTCCGTCCGTCCGACTCACCGAAGGCCTTGCAGATGGCGATGTTCTCGAGCAGGGCGACGAGCGGCAGCACGATGATGCCCGAGCCGAGCTCCGTGACCATGTCGACGAAGCCGAGCGTGTCGTTGCCGCGCACGACCGAGAAGGGCGGCGCCTGGAAGGTGGGCAGGCCCGGCGGGATGTTGCCGATCACCTTGAAGGGCGCCTCGGCGCCGTCCTTGGCGAAGTGGTAGCCCAGCACGCCCGTCACCACCACCAGGATGGCGTTGCGGGAGGTGCCGATCAGCCAGAGGCTGCTGTTGATGATGCGCTGCACCCGGGACTGCTTCTCCGAGTCGCTGGGGCCCAGCTCCACGTTAGCCACCATCTGCAGACGGAGAAACAAGGCACTCGTTACACAAAGGTTCCTGGAAATTTTGTGAGTGTTTTTCTTTTAAAATTTTTGACCGTTTCCTATTCTAAAATTATTTTTTGGGGTACAACACAAAACGCGAATGATTCCCCCCTCGCAGAGGAAGGTGTCCGCAGGACGCATGGTCGGTTACTCACCCGCATGAGGAGCAGCACGACGATGCAGATGATGCCGAGGATGGGGTCCCACAGTCGCGTGTTCTGGATGTCCTCGAACACGCTGGTCCAGATGGACACGAAGGTGGAGCCGCTGGCCTTGATGCCCAGGATGTCCTTGACTTGCGTCGACACGATGATGATGGCCACGGCCGACGTGAAGCCCGACGACACCGGGCCCGACACGAAGTCGATGATGAACCCTGCGATTGAATGGCGTCAATGATGCGTCGCACTTGGCAAAAGGAATGGCCATCTGAATTTGAATGACGCGCCATTCGTTCAAGTGGCGCGTGGGGCGTCGCGCCGCGCGCACAACTCTTTGGACCTCACTCGAGCCCGACGCTGTGCTCCCCTGTCCCTGTCACTTAACGACATTTCCATTTCGGCCGCCAAACAAAATGAGCGGGACCGGGAACAGGGCGGGGCGGGTCGAACGTTCCACATTATACGCCAGCGAGGAACATGTGGTAGCAGAGGATGCTCACCTAGGCCCAGGATGCCCATGAGCAGCTGCACTACGCCAGTGAGGAAGCAAAGGAGGACGGCGTACTCGGGGCCGGCGCCGTGGACGCTCTGGTACACGAGCAGGGCGGTGATGGCGGTGGGGCCCATGGGGACGTCCTTGCAGCTGCCCAGGAAGATGTACAGCAGGCAGCCGAGGAAGGAGCCGTAGAGGCCGTACTGCGGGGCATTAGCGAGGATAATCACTTAGGGACAGTCCGAGGACGGTAATCAAGAAAGCGCAAAAACGCCAGAATCACAGTCTGAAAGCCAGTTCAGGCCCACCGGCTCGGGGGCCAAACTCACCTGCGCCGGAAGGCCGGCGACGTTGGAGTAGGCGAGCGACTGGGGGATGACGGTGAGGCCGACGGTGATGCCGGCCACCAGGTCGCCGAGGAAGTCGCTGCGGTTGTAGCGCGGCAGCCAGTCCAGGATGGGCAGCCGGCGGTAGAGCATCTTGCGCGTGCAGGCGCGGCGCACGCGCTGCTTCACCCAGGGCACCACCGCCCGCAGCTTCTCCGTAGGGCCGCGCTCCACCTCCTCCTCCACTGCGAAATAAACAGTCAACACTCCAGATTAAAATGCGAAGGTTTTGAGTGAGAAGACACCGATGGGGAACCTCGCGATTTGATTAGAACCACTGCAATCAGCGGCGTTTTCATTTTGTTTATGCCCTTTTGTCTTTTTCCCTTCCACGCCCACATGCTGATGTGCAATTGTAGCGCAGTACTCGGGGGGAGATAAGAAGGCATCCACGGTTTAAAAATAAAACGCAAAGGTCGGCAAATCTCGACGAATTAGGTCTGAGAAGAGCCCTCGACTCCGAGAGGGAAGAGAGCGGCTTAGCAATCAGAGAGAGAGAGAGGAAAGCGCGCGGCGGCGCCGGCGGCGGCTGCCGGCCAGGGGCGCATAGGCAGACCCGCAGTGCACCGGTGCGGCGACAGCAAAAGTCTTGCCTACCTCCCAGGCGCCCACCACTCGGGCCCGTTTAGTCGGCTGTCGCGCTTTTCGGAGTTATTCAAAAGAATCGTTGACTTTTTCTTAGTTTAAACTCACGTATGAAGTCGGTGCTTCCGATATACACGGCCGGCGTCCTCGTCGAGTACTTTCTCTGGGGCTTGACGATGGGGGTGCCGGTGGGGGTGGAGCCCGCCGACGGTGTGGGGGTGGGGGGCGCGTTGTCGCCGCCGCCCATCCCCATCTCCAGCTTGTCGGTGCTGCCGCCTGGCGTCATTCCTGAAGAAAGGAGGAAATAAACGTTACTCGTCTTTATTTACTAATTTGCATTATGAAATAAAGGTGATAAAGGGACTATACACGCGTATCAGCACCTCGTCAACCCTTGTCTCTAACCCCTTTTGTTTTTCCTTCTCGAGTTGTTTGTTGGCTCTGGTGCCAATGTTGTGTGCCGTGCAAATCCACACCCGCCCGACACACACACGTACGACAAGAACTGAGTACTCGGTAGTCGGTTGCGCGCGCTGCTATCTCGACGTGTGGGTGATACCCGGGTAAAAACCGGATAGCATGACGGGTACCCGCCCGAGCAAACGGGACGTAAAGCCCGTTGAGCCGACCACTTAATGCCCTCTTAGACAAACAGCGCCTTTGCACAAGCAAACACGGCGTGAATTGTGTCATATCGTCTCGTCTATCTCGTTCGCCCCCCCTCATAACTTTTGTTTCGCCTTTACGTCCTGCTTCTCTCTGACATTGAAAACAAAATTATCGAGCAGCAGCAGGTTTGGAACCTGCTGCTGCATTCCTTGTATATCGGTTTCGCTTTGCGGCCGGTACTGTATGATGCCGACGTCGTCGGCATGCCCGCGGGTCCTGACTCATAATGTTTGGCGAGGCGTTGGTGCCGGGTGCCGCGGGCCCGGACCGGTCGCCCACGTGCTGCCCCGGCAAAGCAAGCCACGCGGTAAGCACGCGGAGAGCGCGGGGATAGCTTTCCACTGGAGGAGGCTGCTATGCTTCTGGATGCTGCTGCGGACCGCTGGACCAAAAGAAGAACAACTGTACGATGTACCCGCGGCGGGGGCGAAGTGCAGCGTCGCGGCCAGACAATAATATTGGGAGTCGCGTCGGAGCGATCGCGGTTATAAAGTGTGTCTGGCGGTGCCCGCGGCGGTGCGGCTGGGCGCGTGCCAAGCGGTGCGACCCACGGGCGCGGGCCGCTGCCTGAGCGAGCGCGCGCGCGCCGCAGCGGCGGGGGGAGGAGCGGCGGGCACCAGAGGACTTGTAAAGGTGTGCGCACGATGAACGGAAAATCAGGTCAGCCACTGGCTGCTGCTCCAGAGAAACGATTAATAGCAGTTTACATTCTAATGACGCGGCTAGGTGTGACCTGCATGGTGACGGCGTCGCGTCGCCGGGGACTCTGGAGCGACGCGGCGACGCACGGCGCGGACTTATCAACCGGCGGCGGGCCTGTGTGTGTGCACAGCGCGGGCGGCATGCGGGCTGAACGCGCATAGCGCAAGCCGGGACTGCATTGTCTCTGGTCAGTAACCCGACGCCTCCTCCTCGTCGGCGTCCTCGGCGCACACCACCAGTGCCGGCCGGGCCCCGCTCCAACCGACAGTACACCCTATCGGACACCACGTGGCGGCGCGCGTCCCCGAACACACCCCGGGTGGCCTCGGGGCGGGGCAGCAGCGGGCGGGGTCGACGCACCACCGTCGTCGGGGAGGAGCAGCGGGAGGCCTTGGAGGCCTTGTCGGCGGCGCAGCTCATCGCACGTCGTAATCACACAGAATTTGGCAAGACACGTTTTTTCGAGACGGAGAAAGCAGATGAAGCGGGAGCAAAGTCGCTGTATACTTCCCGGAGAGCTCGCGAGCGTGCGCTCCGAATGACCCACATTATCCGCGACGTTAGGGCGATGGCGTGCGAGCCGGCGCCCCCTTCCCGCGCCCCGCCACGCCCGCGCCGCCGACAAGGACGACGAGGAAGCGCACTGGCAGGAGGAGAATTGAGCAGTCCAAGACAGTTTTTATTTTTGTGCGCAAAATATTATATTTTACAAAAATGTTTTGGCTGTGCACTACAACGAAACAAGAAAAGAATCAGTTGTAGGAAAAAATTTAAAAACGTCGACATCAAATCGTAATTATGCATTCCAACAGTAAAATTAAAACGGTAAATTTTTTAAATAAAAATGGAGGTGCACATTTTTCACTTGCAGATCAAGAGAAATTATGGGCTGATTGAGGTGTAAATGAAAAGATAACGGGAGGTTTGGCACGCCCGCGACCCGTCCGTGCCCGCGCATCTGGCTCCGCGGCACGCCGCGCGCCTGCAGGCGGCAGTGGTGGCGCCGGCACGCGCCGAGCAGAGAGATGCGTTCGCTGAACCCCGCCCTCGCCCCGCGGCCGCCGCGCTGCAGCCCGCCCCGCCCCGCCCCGCGGGACCGTGACACTGATTTGATGTCCAAGATAGTGCCGCGCGCCCGCCGACGACGACGACGCCGCCGCCGCCGCCTTGGCTCAGCCAAAGGTTACCCGCCGCGGTCCAATTTCCACACGCTTTGCCCCAAAGTTTTGACGGATGATAAATTATGTGAATGACAAGACGAGAGAGATGCGGATAGGAAAGGCGGTTTCGGTCGGTTTCTATCGTCGCGTCTATCACATCACGTGTCGCGCCTGCCCCCCATCGCTTCCGGAAGGCAACGACGACGCGGGTGATGGGAAGAAGGGCACGCTTTTGCCCGGGCCAAGCGAAAGGTTCAGCGCCGCCGGGGCAGTGAAGGTGACCGGTGCATCGTGCGCGCGGGGCGGCGCGGGTCCGCGACGACGACGACGGCCCGCCAGACGAGCGAGAGAGCCTCGTGCGCACATTGGCAAAGTTGTGTATTATTTTTAGTTTGCCTTTAATTCTCTCCGTTCCGAACGCGTTGCCAAACCTTTGGGCGCCAACAACCTGCCCCGTCTCGCCCTGCCCTGCGCGGCCCTATGGTGCGCCGAGCTGCCGTCCCTTGCCCATCCGGGCGCGGGTAAAAAATGATATCGTAGAGGCAGCGAGCATACTCCCTCTGCGGTACCCGCCGTACCTGGTATTTTGTATTTCCCCAACACAGACACCTTTTTTTTGAAGGGCATATTTCGTGGACACGAATCTGTCACGACTCATCGCCCAAATGGATCTTCGGCAGTTATTTTATTTCTTTATCGTTATTTTTGACATGCAAAAGGCAAAAAGACAAAAAAAGTGCCATTTTTGCAAACTATAGCTAAAAACATGCGTCATCCGTCCTTTCCTTCTTTTTCAGTAACAATCTATGACATTTTGCACGGGGTTGCCGTGATACCCCTGCTCTTTTCCCTTTTCCCTCGCTTCCTCGAGTACGAAGAGCACAAATTTGTGCAGCGTCTTATTGTTCTAGCCAATGAAATACACGTCCAGAGTAATGAAATAACGTCATGATTTTCATTAACGCGACCTCCACTTCCACTTTACGCAGCAAATGGCAGAGTGATGTGCAACTTATTTCCTACGAGCGTTGCGAGGAAGAACGAGATACGTATTGGGAAGAATGATGAGACAGCCCAAAACTCATAGCAACAGCAATAAAGAGGACAGAGAATCTCGGTGGCGAAAAATTAGACGGCGCCATTCGAATTCTACTCCAACTTTGAGGCGACTCATTTCCCCTCTGCCCGGACCCTACCTAATGGGTACCGGCCAGAGACAGGGACCTTTTTTTACGGCAATCGATGAGTCGATATTTTGCGTCGAGAGAGAGAGAGAGAGAGAGATGGAGAATAAAACTATGACAAAAAAGTAACACTTCCAAGCAGCAGAAACTTGACGGTCGACTAATCGCCATACCGTAGTAAAAGTCGGCTGGGCGCGCGATGTCGCGAGACAAGTGACGCGTCGACGCCGTAAATGGGAGCGGGAGGGCGCGGGGGGAAAAAGAAACACAACATGTTCGCGGCACACTGCTCTTAAAACGAACCGTGCACGGTGGGTTATCGAGGGAGACAACTGGAAGAACAAAACAAAGAAAACGAACGAGGAAATGAGCGACCGAGAAAATGCGGGCCGATTGCGCTCTGCTCCGCGCTGACTCGAGGGGTAGAGGGTAGGCCGGGTGCACCGCTGCGGTGCAGCGCGCTTGCCTACCCCCCGGGCGCCTCGCCTGGCGCCCGCCCTGCCTTTGCCTACTGCAAGCCCACGGTCCGCCTCCCCTAAGTACGCCGTCTCTTCCACCAACACCAAAAAAAACTGCGACCACCTGGTGAAAGCTCTCTTCTTGGTGTGCTGCTTTTGGTTTCAACTTATGAGCAGGGAAAGAACCAGAAGACCAAAACGAGACGGCGGAGAAATTACTACCCCATTTTCTCTTCTCAAACTCGCGTTTTGTTGTATAGGTGGCAAACCAGCTGAATCTCGGTGAGAGAGGAGACTGGCCTCCCGCGGATCGCAGAGAAATAAGTCACTCACTCGAAATCCTTTCCGGAGGGGAAACAGTAGTGGTGGCGCTTCAGCAAACGGTAGTCGGGGTGGGTCCGCCCGCGGTCCAGGCCAGAGTGAGAGCTGCGCGGCGGAGGATCGAACGCTTGTGACACTTGTGCTGCTGCTGAGAGCGACCCGCGCGGGGGGACACGGTATCGAGTAGTGGCTCCAATATTTACACCCAGCGACGAGGTTAGGTTGGTTTGCCGGGCCGGTTCGGCCGGCGGGCGCGACAGCTCCGCGCCGCCGCCGCAGCCGCGCGCGCCCCCTGGTGGACCCCGGCCGAACTGTCCCACTCACACACACACACACCCGCACGTGGGCTACTCGAGATACCCGAGCTCTCACTAACACACACTCACTCTCACACACATACACACGGTAGTGACGGTGGCGCTCCTCGCGGGCGCGGCGGGGACTAACGCTCGGTGTCGCGGGTGCCGTCGCCGGCTTGGCAAAAGTAGCGCGAATATCGGTTCGTCTCGCTCGCTCTTCATAAAACAGTTGAAAACATCTCTTCTTTCCTCTCGAGGAGCGAGAGTAATGGGCGCGGAGCATAGGGACGCGGCCGTGGGATCAGAGCGATAGACATGTGCGCTGTGCATGGTCCTTCCCCCGTGACCACATTGTGGACACGTCATGTGTGGATATACTTACAAGGCCTGCACTGAAAAAAAAAGTTTGCTAGGTCGTATGTATTTCCCGGGGTTCTAAAAAAAAAAATCAGTCAGGTGCCTGTTGCTGAAGTAAAGGGCACTTAAGACTTAAGGTGCTAAAAATTTGTGCCTTTGGCAGTTTTAGTGCCCTTGTAAAGACACCAAATCTTTGGAATGCCCCGTAAAGGTATACTTACGGTATACTTAACACCTCTGTTTTTCCAGGGTGCAAATATTATTTTTATTTTTTCTAAATTCTGTTTCACATGTCGCCAGAAGGTTCTAGAATGAAGAGATGATAATGTTCCCGCGTAGAAGAATAGGAGAGGTCCTCCTGTCGTCGTTGTATGAGGCGGTGCGCGGGGTGCCCTCCAATGAGGACGTGAGGATGGTGACGTGCTGCTCCTGCCCGCGGGGCTGCTCGGGGCCGGCCGTGCGGCCCGTCCCCTCCCCGTCAGCGCGACGAGTCGCGCGCCGCATCGCGCCTTTCCGTCCCGGATAACAAACCGAGTGACAAACGGTAACCGAGTTGTTGTGCTGCCGATACTTCATGGCTGTCATGCGGCCCCGGCACAAGGTCCTTTGCCGTCAATGAGTGCTTGGGGGGAAGGGGGT